ACATATATATATATATATATATATATGTTATGTGTGTGTTTTTTTTTAATGTGATTATGAAAGTTTTGTCGGCCTGTTGTTCATGGGATAAAGTTTTGTAATTGTGAGTGAACCTGTTGTAACGCAAGACAAATTTCAGACCTTGTCTGACAATAAAGTTGTATCGTATTGTATGTATCATATCGTATTCTTCAGTTTAAGGCACTTTTGAGACTTTGAAAAATCAAACTTCTTTAACCCTGTTAAAACATTTATCACATGTCCTGAAAAAAGATTTGATCATGGCTTTGATGAGCCTTCAAGTATAATGTGGTCTCCAGGGTTATTATTATAAAGTAAAACTAATATGTGACACTGGAGCACAAAAGCAGTCTTAAGTCGCTGGGGTATATTTGTAGCAATAGCCAAAAATACATTGTATGGGTCAAAATGATAGATTTTTCTTTTATGCCAAAAATCATTAGGATATTAAGTAAAGATCATGTTCCATGAAGATATTTTGCAAATTTCCTACCGTAAATATATCAAAACTTCATTTTTGATTAGTAATATGCATTTCTAAGGACTTCATTCGGACAACTTTAAAGGCGATTTTCTCAATATTTAGATTTTTTTGCACCCTCAGATTCCAGATTTTGAAATAGTTGTATCTCAGCCAAATATTGTCCTATCTTTCAGATGATGTATAAATCTCAATTTCAAAAAATGTACACTTAAGACTTTTGTGGTCCAGGGTCACATATGAAAACTAAAACCATAAAAACAAATCTGATGAAACATAAAACTGATATAAAACTGACTAAGAACTATACAGACCTCATACAAACATTATGAAATTACTAATAAATAAAAAACTACAGTAGATAAAAAGTTACAGGTAAGCTTTGAACTTTCTAACACGTAGCTGTCAATACATTTTCAATTGATAAAAACAGTGTTTCAGTTAAAATTCTCTAAATGGTTTTGTAATGACATCAAAAAATGCTGCAGACAGACTTCGTGATTTTCATGGTACAAAGAATCTTAAAATTATGTACACTGATGACAGAGATGAGCTTATTGAGCTCCACTGTATAGTATAAACAAATATAAACATCTTTGGAAAAATATGTTTGTTTTCTAAGATGGTAAAGGCCAATATATCAAATGAATAAAAAACAAATGAATCAAGTGCATATTTTTCTCATAAATGCTTTCAGAAAAAGTATAAAAATAGAGACGAAGAGACGAAGAGAAAGTGAGGGTTAGAGATTTTCTGGCAAATTTAACCTTTCAAAAGCAGGAAAAAATCATTCGAGCCAAACTAAACTTTAAAGCTACTGTAAACGATATTTTAAAGCTATAGTGCAGTGAAAGGATTTACTGTAAAAGAAAAAAAAATATTTCAGGGGACAGAAGAATTACATTAAAAGAAAAATGTCCCATATACAGCATGGAAACAATGCAGTTTAGCAACAGACAACCAATCATAAACAGCCTCAGTGCTTAGCTCATAAAATATTAATGCGCTCTGCATAGCCGCAGTAAGTAAAACTGTTCAGCGTCTGAAGTAAACTCCTAAATCAATGTTATTAAAGACATAAATATGCAAATAAGCAAGCAAGCCAGGGTTTACAAAAGTACAGTGTGAAACTTCAATGACTACTATAATTAATTACTAACCAAGGGTAAAGTATGAAGAGTGTAAAACACTGAACAGAAACTCAGGGTTAAAAATGAACAAACCGAAGTGTGAAAAGCCTAAATGAGTATGTGCTTTCTTCCCACAGGAACACTGTGAAGCTTAACTGTGCAGCATAACGAACGCCTCCACAGAATCTCGACATTGAGCTTTTCAGAAGATGTTCTGCAATCAAAGAAAGCACGTTCACTGTTTTATTTCTGTGGGTGTCTTTAATGAATTGATTTTTCATTCAATTAAACCTCATGATCAGCTTTGAAGCCAGAAACATACAAAACGCAAAGTATGCAAACATATATGGAAATGCTGAATTATTGTGCTACTTTTATGCTAACAGCAAAGAAAATTTAGAACAGAAATAAATCCCTATTTGGGTTTTGTTGAATAATGGTCTAAAAACAGGGACAAATAAAATCTGTGTAATTATATTTATTAGTGAACATACATATCCAATAAGACAATACAGAAACAATATACAATAACTAAAAACCATTTATATTCACTATAGAAAATTTGATGGCTTTTTTTTGGAAATTAAGGGTTTCTGCAATAAAAGCACATTAAACTGACTGATATAGAAAATGTGGACAATATGGTAGACAATAATTAAGCTGATAATTAATCTTAACATTAAAATTGTAAAATAAAAAAATGAAAAACTAATTATTACTAAACCTCAAGTTCTAAATGTTTTTGAGAACTTAAATAATCAACTTTAAATATAAGTTCATATTTAAAATTTAATTACCATTAATTTATTATATATAAAATAATTATAGATTTTTATTAGATATGATTATTATATAATTATCAAACTATTATTATTATTATTATAGTTAAATAACATAATGATTAAATACAATATTAAGAATGGTTTGTGAAAATACAAATACAAATTTTTAAAATATATAGACTTCTCTGAGGAGTATATGATACACAAATGACAAATAATAATAATAAAATAACTTTATCATATTTAATACACACATTTCTAAAACCTCTAAATTGTAAACATTATCAAAACTTTAGTGAAAAACCTGTTGCATACAATCCACTGCATGCCTTTTGCTGTCGGATTGATAGTTCATACTAGTGCTGGGCGGTATACTAGTCTAATCATACCGAATACCGGTGTTTATTTTTGTTATGATATTGATTTTTAAAATACCGCAATATGCAGTATGTCGCTTAAACAACGTTAGGAACGTGACACTGTTTGAGAGGGGTCCCTTTTCACTGTTGCACTGTGGTGAGGGAACAGCTGTATGTGTTACTAAGCGTGAAAGTTCTGAAACTGAAGCTGTAGAACTAATAGAACGTGATGACACAGAAGAACTCATCCACAATATCCACATTGACCGCCACAAATATCCACCGCCCCCTGCCATCAGCTCCCGCGTCTCAGAGACAAAAAAGTAATATAGCCAAAACAACCGCATAGTCGCTCTTTAGTGTAGATGCATGTTGATTTTATCAGACGATGCCGCGATTATAAATGAGAGTGACTCCTGGTTAACATGTATTAAAAGGGGTCGTGTTTAGTCACTATTTAGTGTGGTATTTTTTGACAATATTCACTCATCATGACAGTAATATAGGGCATTCTAAGTCAATATACTGCAGTATTTCCTCTCTCAATCAGTAGAAAATATAGTTAACACTCGGTCATGCATAAAAAAAAAAATACCGTCATGTACCGTGAAACCGGTATCATTTTGAAAAATACCGTGATATAAATTTTTGGTCATACCGCCCAGCACTAGTTCATACTTTCTTAAGTAAAGTATCCTTTTAGAATAACTGTAAAAATGTAATTGAAAAAAGAAGTAAAACGTAGTAAACAAAGTAAACGTAAGAATAACTTTTATATTGTAATTACTATTTCAAGATGAAAACTTACTGAACTGAAGGCTTACTTGATTATCCATATATCATTTTGTAGAAAAACTGTTAAAATGTGAGTATCAAATATAATCCATCAAGCTTTTGGGGAAGCTCTCAATCATCACGGTATTGAATTGCATTATATGTTTTGCCCCTCACAATAAAAAAATATAGAGCTTTAATCATAAAACTAAGCATTTAAATATCTTCCTAAAACATATCTTACTAAAACATATTATTGGAAGACAGAGTGAAAGCTAATATTTATATGCATTATGTGTCCGTAGTCTGCTATACTGTTATACTGTAAATCTTATTGATTTACACGGCAAGCTATCAGAATTTCATCATACCTTTGGCCAAATAAATATCAGCAACAGCAACAAATTGCATATTTTTGCTTAGTTTGGGCCTCTGAATAAAACTGAGCTGTTTTATTTTTTCTTCCTTGAATATGAATTCAATATTTTTCTATATCATACTCTATGGGCCATAAAAGCCTGATGTATCAAATATGATACTCAAAAACATAAAACCAAACGTAATATATATATATATATTAGGGGTTGAACCGACTAAACGACTGCTCGACTTCAATACTCTGCCATGATGCTTTAAGCTTGACGTCGACTAGTCTAAATATTTGAAGGACTTCCACATTTACTCTCCGTTTCCAAACAGTTCAAATGACAAATAAATGCATACTCTGAAAGCACTCCACAAGATGTGTGATTATATTACTGGATGCTCGAAATTGAACAGCAGAATGCACATTTTAAACAGCTTATTGTACAGGTACGTTAATCGCCGTTCTAATCTAATGCGCTGCTGCACTGTAACACACACACGTAGGCTACATGATACTCAAAAACATAAAACCAAACGTAATATATATATATATATATTAGGGGTTGAACCGACTAATCGACTGCTCGACTTCAATACTCTGCCATGATGCTTTAAGCTTGACGTCGACTAGTCTAAATATTTGAAGGACTTCCACATTTACTCTCCGTTTCCAAACAGTTCAAATGACAAATAAATGCATACTCTGAAAGCACTCCACAAGATGTGTGATTATATTACTGGATGCTCGAAATTGAACAGCAGAATGCACATTTTAAACAGCTTATTGTACAGGTACGTTAATCGCCGTTCTAATCTAATGCGCTGCTGCACTGTAACACACACACGTAGGCTACAGACAGTTGTGCGTACATCACACACACAGAATCATTCAGCGCAGAAATGTATTGTTAGCACTGTTCTGTGATTTCTCAATAAAATAGCTTAGAGACTGAAAAGTTCAAGCATATATTTCTTAATAACTAAATTCCACAGCTTCAGCTCCAGACTTATTTGTTCATTAACGACGTCATCATTTTATGTGATGAAAGTCGAGTCGAAGTCGACTAGTCGAAGTCGACTAGTCCCCTGTCATCACATAAAAGTCGACTTTAAAAAATCAGAAGTCGTTCAACCCCTAATATATAATATATACAAGCTAACAAACCAACCAACTAACTAAAGAAGATTTCTTCTGACAATTATTTTATGCCATGCTTCATGGTTAAAACGTAAAATCAAATGCATAATTTTTCCATACCTTTAATGATGACAGAATTTTATTCAAACCCTTATATTTTACCCCTTCCTTTCTGGCCTGTAAGACCTACTTTAAACAAGTCTTTTAATTCCTGATGGATAATAATCACATTTGTTGAATTTTATTCTGAATTACATCTGATTCCAGAAGTAAAGTAGTTTGTGAACTGTGTTTCACTTGGACTGGAACGCTCTGTAGCCCCACTCATGTAAACTGATGTCACAGCTCGGGAGTCATCCATCAGAATCTCAGACAGTTTTAGGTTGAAAAATTCCACCCGTCTTTCCATGACGGTTTCCTGTCAGCTTTTTTAGGCTAATCTTATGCACTACAGACCACAGAAAATTGCAAGGTTTTTGCATGTCAGCTTGTTAGAGAGGCCCCAAAAAGTAATTAGAAATGTATGAAGGTCATTGTATTAGATGCAAAATATGGCATGTGCAAATAAATGATACTAGAGCTTTACTCACGACTAATAAATATGGTAACATATAAGATTAGGGAACACTGCTTACAAGGTAGTTGTAGTAGTTATGTATAGATGTTGGGTAGGGTTAAGGGATCTAGAATATGGTCATGCATTAATGTGTGCTTTATAAGGACGATTAAACAGCCAAAAGGCTAATATGCACGCTAATAAGTAACTAGTTAATAGTGAATAGTGTTTCCTATTCTAAAGTGCCACTGCTACCGTATATATTATAATTGTATTTTATTTTTACATAAAATGTGTCTTTTAAATATTTTTTTAGTATTGTGTGAGTTTAGCGATGTGTTTAGCTTTCTGAGTTTAATCTTCTGTACCTTCTCCTGCATTGTAAGCCAGTATGGCTCGGGTTCTCATCTGCTTGCCCTCGGCGGTTTTGCTGGAGCAGGTCTGGGAGCAGGTGGACCATTCGGTCCAGAGGCTGAGAGCGCAGTCTTTAGGGCAGGGAACCAAACAGGGCACAGATGAAGGGTAGACCTCATCCACACACATCTCCTTCTCCACCTCGGTACCTGAAGCACAAAACATTTGTGGGTTTACAATGTGTTTAAAATTTATTAAGCACCATTTACATGATTATTTTTATTGTACACTCTGCAAAACCTATACGCTGATGTATTTAAAGTATGGGCTGATGAAAATTAATGCAGAAAAATGTCTGTTTGTTAAACAGTATTTAAAAAATAGGGGGTCTTGACCAACATCAACTTACAAATTCATATTTTATGTAATAGTAACATCTAGTGTAGTTTCATTTGATCTCGGATGTAGGTTACATACAGTACAGCAGAAAGGTGAGGCTGATGTAACCTGTCAAGCACATGTCTGGGTCATAATTCATCTCAAATATCAAAAGCAGCAAGAAGGCAAGACAATCAAGCCTATTTTTAAGACTTTTTAGATTTTTTGCATGCATTACTTGCATCACAATTAGGTACATTTTTCTCTCATATTTCTTGCAATAATACTATGCAATAAAATCTCAGCAACACTTTATTTTAAGGTGTCCTTGTTACACGTTTACATGTACTTTTTATTATAATAACAATAAATGATGCATAATTACATGCAACTAACCCTAAACCAAACCCTCATCCTAACCCTAACCAGGGGCGCCACTAGCGATTTTGGGCCCTATGAAAGAATATGAGGTTGGGCCCCCTACTGCACCAAACATACACTATATTGCCCAAAGTATTGGGAAAACTCAGGCTCGGTTTGCCCCCCCTCGAACTTGAAGACATCTCTAATTAATTTGACAGTTTACCATCTGATCTCACTCATGACTTTCTAGGCTACGTAGGACGGGATGAAACCATGCACTGAATGGGGGAGATAATTTTGCTGGAAATACAGAAATAAGCCGTAATTTTGTTTTATTTGTAACTCTTTGGTAGATACATTTATAATTTCTATTACATTACTACTACTACTGTTACTACTATTAAAACAGATCTCTGGGGGCCCCAAACGTGCGTGGGCCCTCAGAATCATCCTAACTTTCCCCACCTTAGCGGTGCCCCTGACCCTAACCCTATAGTAAGCTAATTAATATTACTCAGCACTTACAGTATATGTATAATTACACTGAATCAAGAACACCTTAAAATAAAGTGTAACCAAAATCTCTTTCATGCAAAAAACAAACAAAAAACACATATTTGTTCATACACTAAGGTAAGTATTTGTTGTATTGCCTATGATTTTTGATGATTAAAAATATAAAATATAAAAAATGTAAATATTAAATTAAATT